GTGCTTTTCCTGGTCACTTTCCCATAACTTGCCTCTTCCACACCTTTCTTTGTGTTGTAATCGATGCTGTGTGAGCCAGGGTTCTAAGCTACCTCTTTGAGATTTACTCACTTCTCTGGTGATCACTCACGTATATATGAGATATACATGTTACTAAACAAATGTTTGTTTTTCTCTTGTTAATCTGCCTTTTGTTATAGGGGCCCCAGCTGAGGGTGGTTTCAGAAGGTGGAGGGAAAATTATTTTCCCTCCCCTACACCAGCATCTCCAACAAGCTGACTTCTAGAAAGTTGAACCTTTTCTGTTGAATCCCGCATTCATCTAAGTCGTCAGGTATGTCTTATAGCAGAGAGGATCCACTAACTGACGCTTTTCAAGCTCCAATCCTGGAGTGACTCCAAGGCACACTGACTCTAGTAAACTGTTGTGTGTTGACGGAAAAGTGTGCACGGGCAGAGGACGCCCCTCCAGGTCAGCTGATTTTCGGCTTCCGTTGCCTTCCAGTGAGTGCACAACTCAAAATTGCGGGTAGTTCACAGACATGCAAATTCTGTCCTGTGACTTCCCTCCTCCCAGTGGAAGAACCAGTTTCGCCCCCGTTTGCAATTCATTTTACCAACACTTACTCTAAATTCATTCCTGCTTCTGCACTTCTCTTTTGAATTGGTTATTACAGCTGCCTGATTCTCTCATAAGTAGAACAAAACCTTTAACACATTTTCATGTCTCATGTCTATGTGAGAGTCATGATTTTACCTTTTACTGAAAATTATCTTTTAGCAATTTTTATCTACATGTAAGTTCTCATGCATCCTGCTGGCTAGTGCATGAAGAAGACTAAAGTCCAAAGCTTTAGTTTAAAAAGGAGAGAAACGGGAGGCTGAGGCAGGAGGATCGCTTGAGCCCAGGAGTTTGAGGTTGCTGTGAGCTATAATGATGCCACTGCACTCTAGCCGGGATGACAGAGTAAGACTCTGTCTCATAAATAAATAGGAAAGAAAGGTAGATCTTCTCAAACACAAGAATGATGTTTGAAAAATGATTGGAAAGTCAGTTTCCCCCAAAACATGTGTTTCGCCAGATCCCACGGTTGTGCCCGGGCACACGCTACAGCAAGCAGTACTGGGCTGGAACCTGAGAACCAGGCAACTAGAACTCTGGATTGTCCCACCCCCACCCACTGGCTTCAGGATCTCCAAGTGCAACCCACCCGTAAAGCAGTGAGAGGCACAGGTTGTCCACGGTAGCTTGGCACTCGGAGCTCAAGCAGATCTGCACGCCCTGGGGCATTCAGAGCACGCCGACAGCCAGTGCCTTCCTCAGAACACAGGGCAAGACGAAAGAGACCCTCCATTTAGTCAAACCGACACTAGGTAAGAAAAATGCCTTCCTGTTGCCACCCAACAAGCCAATGCACTGAGACAGTCGGGATTGCAATGGAGAAAGAGTTTATTCCGCAGAGCACTAAGCAGGAAGACGGGAGAATTTGGGAGACAGGGTTTTTAAGGATAGTTTGGCGGGCAAAGGATTAGGCAATTATTAATAGATTTGCTAATTGGCTAGGTTTGGGGCAAAAGTATAGGGGTTTAGAAATCATCTTCTTGTGTTGCTTCAGTCCCTGGGGTCACAATTCCAGTTGAGTCGGTTTCTTGGTATGGGTCGCTGGTCTGGGTGGGTCAGCTAATGCACTGGAATGCGGGGCCGGAAGATATCTTAGAAACGATCTTTAGGATTCGAAAAGGTGATGTTATCTACGGAGAAAGTTAAGCATCTCTATGGGCACCAGCTATGTGGCTCTGGAGTGGCAATTATAGAGAAGCAAGCAGGGGACAGTGACTAATTATTCTCATTATTCTCAGCTAGGCCCTCCCCACAGTGCTCACCCTGCATCCCGTTACTGATGTGCTCAAAGGGTGGTTTCATTCGCACTGTGCACTCCCCTGGCCCAGCACTGCAGACAGGGCCAGGATGTGGGGACGTGACAGCAAGCGCCGAGTGCATGGAAGAACTCGGGGCGGAGGGCCGGCCAGGGCAACGGTGAGGACTTGGCGCAGTTGGAAACTGTTTATAGAGTGAAGGTATGAGCATTTATGGGGGTGGCGGGGCAGAGGGCGAAAGAGGCAGAATCAGTCCTGAGAGGGATCTTTCTCGTGCTCCCAGGCCTGGCATAGTGCCACGAGCTGCAGCACAGGGCAGAGGATGGGAGCCCATCAGTCGTCTGTGCTGCTCTCAGCCGCTGGGAAGCATGTTCTTATCTTTGTTATTCTCCCCCCGGGGAAGGTGATTTAATCATCTATCGGGGCATGCCATGGTTGGAGGCCAAGGTGTTGGGAGAAATGCACACTGCCAAGGGTGAGCAATGAACCCAGGTCTCAAGACTTCAAAGCCCACCCTGCCGAGTGGCACCTTTCCCACCTCCACTGCTTGAGGACACCTGTGCGGTTCAACACGCCGGAAACACTATTTTTAAAATTAATGACCCACAGTACTTCGTGGAGGGCTGCTTCTCTGAATTTCCTAAGTTTTCTACAACTCATCTTGATATTTTTTCCTCTGAGTTGCGTATTTTTTTCCCAAGACTTATGTGGAGTTGTTTTGTTTTGCCTTCAAGGCGGAGTTAATGATTTCCCAGAGGTGCTTGCGCGGGTGATAAGAATGCAACCTCCGGGCCGGTGCGACCGGGACCCCAAGCCCTGGGCCACTGTGTGATCCGGGGCTGGCCGCTGGCTCGCAGAGGCAGCTTCCTCAACTGTGGAATGGGAACAATAGCAGCACCCGGCTCCCAGAGTGGCTGTGAGGACTCCGCAGTGCCCGGGTGGGCAGTGAGACCTGGCGCGCGCTGGTCACGATTTCAGACGAGGAGCAGGGGAGGTTGAACAGCAGCGGTGTGTTGGGCGCCTACCACAAACAAGGCACTGTACGCGGGGATCTCTTGGTGTCTCCGTGACAATGCCACGAGGTGGACACCTCTGCTTTTCCCATGCATGGATGAGGCAGGAGGGTTAAGTAACCTTAGCAAGGCGAGGTTGCACATAACGTGTGTATGTTTCTCATAAAGTTCGACATTCAGAAATTGACTGCAGAGACAAAGAGAAGGAAGGTGAACTTGTTTGAACAAAAGGAGTTTCTTTTCCTTCAAGCCACGCCAGCCTATAAGCCTTCATAAAGCAGGGAAGGCGGCTCCTCCTTCCCCTGGCAGAGACTGATAGACTCAGCACTTCCCAGAGTGGCTTGTTGTTAAGACAGAGGGTGTGCACTCCCTGGCCGGGAGACCTGAGCGCTGAGACTCCCTGCCTTCGGCTCCAGGCCCCAGGATATGCAGAACTTTCCTTTAGGGCCCGACCCGCCACCATGAGGTCCTGCCTGTGGAGGTTCGGCCGCCTGGGCCAAGGTCTCCAGTGGTCCTTGCTCCTGGCCGTGCTGATCTTCCTCCTCTTCGCCTTGCCCTCCTTTATCAAGGAGCCTAGCACCAGGCCGTCCAGGTAAGACTCTGACCCTTCCCAGGTGCCTCACGTTTCATTAGAGGAAACTGGAAACCTGCAGCCCAGGGAGGGCTGGGGAACTCCGAGCCACCTCTGTGTCCAATGTGGGTGTCGAGGGTCAGGAATGTTGTCAAGAATCACTGGGAAGGACCAATGGGAAGACCTAGGGGACCTGGAGGTGGCGGTGGCGGTGGGAACCAAGGCAGCCCAGACACCGTGGACTTGTGCTGAGAAGGAGGGAGGCAGGCGCGGGAGGACGGCTGCGGAGAGCGCGGGCGAAGGCAGGACAGTTTTCCCCTCTGGGACTGTGAGTAAGAAGGGCAGCTTTGGGTAGTTCCCACATGCCATTTTCTGTGTCCTGAAGCGAAAGCTTTCTCCCCTGTGTGCCACTGGTTTCCGAAACAGACTCACCCTAAAAAGTCTGTCAGTGAGATGGGGGAACCTCCCACTCACGGAGGCAGCTTCCATTCTGGGCCCCAAGTTAATTTTTTAAAAATCCTGTTTCACTATTCTTAAAATTTGAAAGTAATACATGCTCCCATAGAGTTTTAAAAAAATACAGAAAGGGGAAGCAGGAAGTGAGGGTCTCCCATGATAGCCCCACCTCCATCCACTCTTGAGGGTGACCACGCTTCATACTTTCGTGTGCACGGAATTGAGACATTATCGCAGCTGACGCTTGTACAGCATTTGCTGTGGGCCGGGTCCTACTCAAAACGCTTTCTGCCTATTAACTCGCAAATTCTCACTATCGTGCGGATACTGAGACACGGAGAGTTAGAGTGAGCCACCCCAAAATCGCCCTGCGAGTATGTTGCTGGGCCAGCATTCAAACCCAAGCATTTTGGTCCCATAGCCTGTGCGTGTTACCTTCACAGTATCCGTGCCCTAATGTATGTGTCTCACTCTACATGTTGTTCCACAGTTTGGCTTTTTTTTTCTGAGACAGAGTCTCACTCTGTTGCCCTGAGTAGAGGGCCGTGGTGTCAGGGTAGCTCATAGCAACCTCAAACTCCTGGGCTCAAGCGATCCTACTGCCTCAGCCTCCCAAGCAGCTGGGAAGACAGGTGCCACCACCACACCTGGCTAATTTTTCTATTGTTGGTAGAGATGAGGTCTCGCTCTTGCTCAGGCTGGTCTCAAACTCCTGAGCTCAAGCAATCCTCCTGCCT